AGAGTCTTCCTAGATTGGCAGTGCTACCAAAATAAATTTCTGTTACTCCTATTGTCATGTGAGTGTTAGAGAATCATAGAAATACTCAAGTAGTGAATGGGAACTTTTTAAAAAAATTAGAAATGCCATCTTTAAAGCTCTGTTTTTAAGATCCTAATGAGCCTAATATCTCGCCAGCACCAGAAGGAGGAGAGATTCACATTCCTGTGCTTCATCTTGTGTCAGCTCATGCTTCACAGATTACCACAATAAACTGATCTATTTTCCAGCAGAGGATTAGTCCAGGAATGCTTTCACTAAAGAAAAGCCAAAAATACCCAAGTGTAACAACAAAAAAACCCTCAACCTTGACCCCACTAAAGAAAAGCATGTGATTTTCTGTTGGGTTAGGAAGTTGCAGTGGTTCATGGAAGAGTCCAGAAAGCACCAGATGTGTCTCAAGAATGGAAGGAGGAGGGGTGAAGATGGTGGTCTTGCACTAGTGAAGCATAAGTCAGATCAGCTGTTCGGAAGCCTTGCATTTCCTCTATCTGCCCTAGTATATGGCCTCTTTTCACACCTTCCTCCATCACCTAATGGGATCTTCTAGGTTCTTGGGAACAAATAAAGCTTTTAAGTTTTCTGGCAGTTGAGAAGTGAATACCCACGTGGCATCTTATCTCTTTAACTTGAATTTTTCCAATAGACTGTGATGTGATCAAACAGTTAACATTTATATTACTCTTCTAGACTGAGACGAAATCCATCAGTGAGTTTGATGGTGATTGATATTTGACCTTAGAAATCTTGCTTCTTAATGATGTTTAATACTCACATAGCTATCAAATGTATAAACAATTTATAACAAACTCTGTTTTAATGCTGCACATTGTAGGCACGGAGTATGGAGGAAGAAGCATATTGAGCATAAGCCATTTAGAGAGGCACAGTACTTGACCAGGAAGAGTGCTGGGTATGTGTGCTGCTGGCCTGCCATGCTGCATGGAGCTGTGTGCAGGAGGCAGGTGGGGAGCACCCACAGCTCGCTGATGCTTGAGGAGCTGCTTGGGCAGCTTTGTGTCACGCTCCATCCCCATCAGACAGCTGCCACTGGGTTGACTGGAACACAGTGGGGCTTGCGTGGCACCTGCAGAGCAATGCGAGCAACAGTGCAAAGATTCAGAGTTACACTGAGCAAATAAGCATTAGAAAAAGTTCAGATAGGAACTTTTAAGCTATTCTGCTGAGGATGCTTTTGTGACTTTCTCAGACAAATTGCATGTTAGTTGTGTCTATGAACTAGACAGTCACTACTGTGATGTAGCATGGCCAGCCTGTGCCTTAGTATCACTACATATTCCATCCTGTGTGTCTAGAAAGAAGTGGCATTGGATTTATTTTAGGAAAATTCACTTCTGATGTACCAGATATTTAAATTTAGATTATTAAATAAATTTATGATGGATCTTATATACTGAACACTTAACTGGTGACTGCACGGTAGCTGAGCTAATCTGACAGCCTGTTGCTGCTTAAGGGGGAGGATTTTCCTTCTCTTGTCTTCCTTCCCTGCTTTTCTGTCATTGGATCCTGGGTAAGTGCTTGCAATGATCCATTTTGGACCCATGCATGAAGGTCCACAATTCAGTTTCCTGGCTGTCAAAAAAAAGCAGACTTATTTTGCTGAGCTAGTGAGTGGAATCAACCCGTTTGAGTGCCAGATCTGAGGGCAGGTAAGTAGGAGGGTGCTCGTCTGGGGTCAGAAAGGTGATAAAGGAACAGCGAGCTCTTTTCTTTTCAGGAGACAGCAAGTTGTTAGTTGTTAGACAAGTTTCTCTGAACTCAAGACCCTGCACCTTGCAGTTCTCACCTTGACCTCTTTACCTAGACATGGGAGTAAGAGAAGCAGCGATTATTTTCATGAGATATGTGTTTAGCTTTTACTAAGTATCTGAAAATTGTTCTCTTGTCAGACAGTATAGTAGAACATGATCTCAGTGATGGAGTCCTACCATGTGAACAGGCATTGAGTATTTTGTCAAATGGATACAGACTTTTAACACATGCTTTAAGACATTTTAGTACATTTCATGCAGGGTCTCATCCACCTTTCTTTGCAGTTGGTAGGCAGCACATCATCGACTTGATGGAGAGGTGTATCAGACCCATTAAAAGGCGCTTCATGTATAGGTTGATCTCAAGTTCTATTTCTCATTTTAATAACTTATCACTAGTAAATATGAGTCAGAACTTCATGATCAACTTGCTAGCATTAGCAGTACTGCTTTTAGAGTATGCTAATTTATGCATGTTCTATCAGCACAATTGAGGTGTCTCAATATATTTGGACGTGGGCACCTGATCAAGTTAATGCATGTTTAAAAAAAAAAAAAATTAAAAAAGCAACAAACCCAAAGAACCAAAACTCCTGTGCATCATGAGCTCTGGCAACTGCGTGTGCGTGCTCTTAGCCCTGTAGAGAGCCTTTTCTTGTCCTGCAAGTGAAAGAGGGTCACCCTGCATTTGCTATGAATACACCTACGACTGTTTACTCTTAATAATTTACTAGTAAAGCTGCAGTAATATTATCATCTGTCTTACCTCTGTGTTCATTTAATGTTGTTTGAAATTAAGAACAGTTTGTGGAAGGCTGTGTAGGTATGATCTTAATATTGTACCATGTCAACTGAAAAAAAAAATTGTTAATGTAAAATAAAGTATTTTCTTCACTGAGACTCTTGGCAAACATGCCCTAGTGTTATGAAGCTAATTTTTATATTTGTTATTAATTGTCTGTTTTCTTCTTTGTTGCAGCTAACCACATGTACAGTGCTTAACGGAACCTCATGGGATGCGGTCTGAGAAACAGGGCTTTTTTAACCACACAGAGCAGTGCAGACGGGCTGTTGTTCCTTTCAACATAACTATCACAGGCTTCAGGGTTAAGATTGCTATTACTGTCTCCTCCTTGCTTTGGCACAAAAGCACGCTGAGGGTGTTTAATTGCGGGTTTGCCTAAAGGTAGATTAGATTAATTATTACTATGTAATGCAAGTTAAAGCAAATAAAGCTTAGCTAGGTGTATAAAAAAAGGTGCTGCCTTTTTGGATTTTTAAAAAAAGCCTGTCAGTCACGATGAAATGCAGCCAACTTTCTTCATATCAGTGAAAGAAAAGGACTGTTTACCCTGTGAAGGGGATATTTATGTCAAGATGAGCATATGAAACGGAGTAGAGGAGAAAGGTTTCTCAATGAGAAGGACTGCAATTGCTTTCAAGACTCAAAAGTTGTGCTCTTGAAGACTGCAGAACTAGCTTAAAAATGAAGCCTTATCACTTGAACTTCAGTGCCTTCACTGCAGAGTTAACAGCCTTAATGCTAACCACCCACTATGGAATGGATCAAAGTGTTAAATATTTTACATTATGCTTTACAAAATACTGATTCAGCAGGTTTGTAAAGGGGGAAAACGAGTAATTGCCTTTAATCTATGCATTTTTGCCAAGCCATACCGAATTATTTTACTATTAGAGGCATTAGAAACTAACAGTAAAAAGAACCACCAAGTTTGGAAGCGTATTTTGGGGTACATCATTTCTGTAACTGTATAATGTATTGCCTTACAATTTTAAGTGATAACGTACATTAAATTAACAAACATTTAAGAAATATATGCACTGTTTGAACCGTAAATTATTCTTAGAACACTTTTACTGGGTTTTACATTGTCATTTTAGTGCCTTAATTTGAGATAATTATATTATTGCCACATCAATAAAAGTAGAAATCTAAAACTAAACAAAAGAAACCTCTAAAAAACTATTCCATATCAGCGGTTTTTACTGAATTTTAATTGGGTGAAGTATTGTAGATGCTAGATGCATTTCCTAAATTAAGTACAATCTTTGAATGAGAATTCCTCTTACAAAGAAAGACTGATTCTGGTTCATAAGCCAAGAGATGCCTAGGCAATGCAAAAAAAAAAAAAAAGGCAAGCATATAACACAAAAGCTCTGGGTAATTGAGGAATTTCAGTAAATGCTGTCAGACTCTTGCTTTGTAGCAGGA